TTAGCAGATGGAAGGAAATAATAAAGATTACAGCAGAAATAAATAAAATAGCAAAAGAGAGAGAGAAAAAAAACCCTACAGTTTTTTTAATAAGATAAATGAAATTGACAACCCTTTGGCCAGACTAACCAAGGAAACAAGAAGACTCAAATAAATAAAATCATAAATGAAAGAGGAGATATTACAACTAATACCAAATAAATACAAAGAATCACAAGAAAATACTATGAACAATTATACACCAACAAATTGCATAACTTAGAAGAAATGGATAAATTTCTAGAAACATATCACCTAACAAGACTGAATCATGAAGAAATGGAAAATAGAAACAGACCAATGCAGGTAAGGAGACTGACCCAGTAATAAAACCTCCCAACAAAGAAATGCCAAGGACCAGATGACTTCATTAAATTCTACCAAATAATTAAAGAGGAATTCATGCCAATTCTTCTCAAACTCATCCAAAAAATTGAAGAGGAAACACTTCCAAACTTATTTTATGAGAAAAGTATTACCCTGATAGCAAAGCTAGATAAAAACACTAAAAGAAAAAATCAAAGGTTCAATATCTCTGTTGAACCTAGACACAAAAATTCTTATTTTTGTATCTTATTTTATGAGAAGAGTATTACCCTGATAGCAAAGCTACATTAGAGCACTAAAACAAAAAAAATCAAAGGCCAATATCCCTATTGAACCTAGATACAAAAATTCTCAATAAAATACTAGCAAACTGAATTTAACAGCACATTGAAAGGATCATACGCCATGACTAAGTGCAACTTATCCCTGGGATACAAAGATGGTGCCACATGCAAATCAATACATGTGATATACCACATTAACAGAATGAAGGATAAAAATCATATGATCATCTCAACAGAGGCAGAAAAAGCATGTGACAAAATTCAACATCTTTTCATGATAAAGACTCTCAACAAATTAGGTATGAAAGGAATGTATCTTAACATAAGAAAGGCCATATGTGTTAAGGCTACAGCTAACATCATACTCAACAGTGAAAAGCTGAAATCTTTTTTTGCTAAGATCAGGAACAAGACAAGGGTTCCCACTCTCACCAGTTCTATTCAACATAGTACTGCAAGTCCCAGCCTTGGCAATTAGTCAAGAAAAATAAAAGGAATTCAAATCAGTAACGAAGAAGCAAAATAGTATGTTTACAGATGACATGATATAGAAAACCCAGAAGACTCCACCAAAAACTGTTAGAACTAATACATTCAGTACAGTTGCAAGATATAAAATCGACATACAAAAATCAGTTGTGTTTCTTTTTTTTTTTTTTTTTTTTTTTTTATTGAGATGGAGTCTCACTCTGTCACCCAGGCTGGAGTGCAGTGGCATGATCTCGGCTCACTGCAAGCTCCACCTCCCACGTTCACGCCATTCTCCTGCCTCAGCCTCCCGAGTAGCTGGGACTACAGGCACCCACCACCATGCCTGGTAAATATTTTGTATTTTTAGTAGACACGGTGTTTCACCGTGTTAGCCAGGATGGTCTCAAGTTCTTGACCTTGTGATCCACCCGCCTCAGCCTCCCAAAGTGCTGGGATTACAGGCATGAGCCACCGCACCCAGCAAAAAAAATCAGTTATGTTTCTACACGCTAACAATAAACTGTTTGAAAAAGAAATAATCCTACTTACAATAGCATCAAAAACAATAGAATACTTAGAAATAAACTTAACGAAGGAGGTGAAAAATCTGTTTACTGAAACCTACAAGCCATTGATGCAAGAAGCTGAAGATACAAATAAATGGAAAAGATGTACTATGTTCATGAATGGGAAGAATTTTGTTAAAATTTCCATACTACCCAAAGTAATCTACAGGTCCAATGTAATCCTAATAAAAATTCCAATGCCTTTTTTTTTTTTTCCACAGAAACAGAAAAAGACGATCCTAAAATTTGATAGAACCACCAAGAAGCTTGAGTGGCCAAAGCAAAAAGAACAAGCTGAAGACATCACACCACCCAACTTCAAAATATATTACAAAGCTATAGTAATCAAAACAGCATTGTTCTCCATAAAAAGACACATAGACCAAAGGAACAGATTAGATCCCAGAAATAAACACATGCAACTATCTTTGACAAGGCTACCAAGACATAATGAGGAAAAAATAATCTCTTCAATAAATGGTGCTGGGAAAACTGTATACCCACATGCAGAATGAAATTGGTCCTTGATGTTTTATGTGACTGAAGCAGTTTGAAAAGGAGAGTGACTGAGAGTGAGCAAGCTGTAAAATTAGGTTGGGACCAAGTCAGGGGTTACCAAATGTCAGGCTGAGCTTTGGTACTTTATTTGGCAAGAAAATAAAGCTGGAAATAGAGTTATATAGTAGCTCATCAAATGCTAAAGGATGCACTTGGTTCTAAAGTTCAAAATGAGTGCAGTATGTCACACTCCAGTATGGAAAATGTTCATGCTACAGGTCATTTTAATGAACACATGCACACACACTTTAGTTTTCAAAGACCAAAGTTTAAAGAAAATACTTTTTAGTCAAGTACAGATCCCCAAAGCTTTATTTAAAGCCAGTTTCTATTTAAGTAGTCTTCATTTTTGAAGCATTTTCCCCGAGTACTCTAATTTCAAAATCAGTATTTCTCAAATGCTGATGCCACTGGGAAAAATTTCCAAATTGGTAATGGAAACATATGCCATGTGCATCTGCTCAAACTAGCAACAACATGATGTCAAATAAAAATGGATGGCATTAAAAAAAAAATCCAAAAACCTATAATGGCAACTCAAAGCAGCAATGATAAGCATAAATTAAAATCTCTAGTTAAAAACAATAAAGACTTGCAGATTAAATCTGAACTTTACTCCTTCTGTTGGTACAAATCAGAAACTTCTTGCTACTCAAATTCAAATAAGGTGCAATGAACGTGTTACTTTCGTATTCCCAGTAACTACCTTTCCTCACCTGCTCCCTACATTCTGGCTTTCCTCTAAAAATTACCCCCTCCTTTGGGTGAATTCCTCTTTTGATTAGCTCAGGAACAGAATGTGATCCAATCTGGGCAAAATCAAAGTACTTCTCCAAAATTTTACATAGCTTGCTTTATAAAAGCTTTCAGCCTTGTTATGCTAAGGTAAGCTGAAACTGTCAATTGCTGTTATCCACCATCCTCTCACCTCACTGCTCCTCATCCCATACAGAATATCCCCAAAGGGAAAATCTGGAGAAAACCAATCCATAAAAAAGAAAATAATCAGAGCTAAGTGTGTAGGATGGCAAGATGACTTCTTTTGACCTTTGGATCCAGGACCCAGTCATGCCTGGACTTCCCTGTATATAAGCCAATAAACTGTCCTTCATGCAACACTATTTTGAGTTTTTGTCACTTGCAAATAAACAACACATTTTAATGCAATAGAGTATGGCTTAGTCCATTTTGTGTTGCTATAATAGAATATCTAAGACTGGGTAACTTATTTTTAAAAAGAGTTTTATTTGACTCATGATTCTGGTGGCTGGAAGGCTCAAGATTGGGCAGCTGCATCTGGTGAAGGTCTCATGTTGCTTCCACTCTTGGTACAAAGTGAAAGGGGAGTAGGCATGTGCAAAGAGATCACATGGGAAGGGAGAAGGCAAAATCGAGAAAATCAAGAAAGTCAGACTCGTTAATAACCCACTCTTGTGGGAACTAATCCATTCCCATGACAGCAAGAATGAGAACTCACTCACCCCTGTAGGAGGGCATTAGTTTATTCATGTGGGATCTATCTGCCCCCATGACCCAAGCACCTTCCATTAGGCTCTACCTCCCAACACTAGCACATGGGGAATCTAATTTCAACATGAGTTTTGGTAGGAACAAACTACATCCAAACCATAACAGCATATGATTAAATAAAAATAGACTAGCATCTTTATGTAAAATTTAGTAACAAGAAATAAGGTATAACACAAAGTATATGTCAACCTAATTAAACAAAAATGTATAAAGAAAATTGTTGGTATTATAGTTGTGTGATTAACATTTTATTGTATGTCATGAAACCTGAATCCCACTACTTGCTACAGGGAAATAAACTGGATCAACTACATTTTGGAATCTTAAATATCTATTTTTAATAACTCTTTTTTTTTTTGAGGCAGAGTCTTACTCTGTCACCCAGGCAGTGCCCAGGAGTGCACTGGCACAATCTCACTGCAAACTCTGCCACCAGGGTTCAAGTGATTCTCCTGCCTCAGCTTCCTGAGTAGCTGGAACTACAGGTGCCTGCCACCATGCCTGGCTAATTTTTATATTTTTAGTAGAGACAGGGTTTTGCCATGTTGGCCAGGTTGGTCTCAAACTCCTGACCTTGTGATCCATCCGCCTCAGCCTCCCAAAGTGCTGGGATTACAGGTGTGAGCCACTGTGCCTCGCCAAGTCATATGTATAATAGGAATACGTACAAGTTTTACTTACTATAATTTATGACTATTAATCCTATACATATAATTAGCAACTATGAAAGGCGTATCTTCTCTTTGAAATCACGGTTTAAAAAAAGAAAGAAAACCAAGTGGAGCTTTTCTCCTTTTAAAATGTGATTCATGAACAAAATGTAGCATGCTGAACTTAACATGGGTCAAGGAGTTTGTTTACACACTGGAATTTGTCAATAAGCTAACATGGAGAGGGCCTCCACAAAGATATTGGGTCTTAATGCTACAAACATCTAGGGTTTTCGGTTAATTATTTCAATTTCATTCTCTCCAAGCCATTGGGAATTCACTAAAACACATGTGTATGGTAAATCTTACAGGAATAAATGTGCATATTAATCAAATGAATTGATAATTATATTTAGGGGAATTCTAAGAGTTATATTCTTTCCTAATAGCCTATAATTGAAAAGTCTAATAGAATTCTAGAACATAAAGATGGCAAAGATGCATTAGATGATGTAGATTTCTTTTTTTCCTCCTGAGCAGTGGAAAAAGTACAGGATAGTTTGTTTTTTGTCCAGTTTTCAATTTAAATTCAGAAGGGACAGAACTCAAGACTTTTCTTGGAAATGAGACTACATCATAACAGATTTCACTGTCAAAAAATTCCTATCCACCCTGATATTCAGATCATATTCAGATTGCATGTTCTTTTTGTATACTTTATCCCACTTTTCCTAATAACAACACGTTTCACTCAATTCATCTATTTCTTGCTGGTTTCAAGAAGACACATTTCACTTTTGATTATAAACAAGTTCCTTGAAATCTCATTTGTTTCTCCAATAATAATGTGAACAACATAATTCTACACAAATTCTTTATCTATGTTAGAAGATTCCTGAAGTTGCTTTAGAGATTATAAATATATATGTATGTATGCTTCTCAAATTGCAAGGCCTCACTTTCTAAGAACTTTCTATGAATCACATTTCCATTAGTACTTTTATACCAAGGGTCTTTCTGGCATTATTGTTTTTTGATTCTCTTCTCCAATTTCTACCCCAAGTTACACTTGTGTCCCACAAATTTATCTTCTGTTCATCTTCTCATTATCTTTTCATATTTCAAATCTTTTTAAGTCTCCTTAACTAATGTCTCTGGTTTCTTTTTGGTAAAAAACTTATTTCAACTGTAAATTAAAAATGAATTTCATTAATGTCCAATTTTATCATTGCTTTTTAACCATTAAGTACACAACACATACAATGCAGATGTAACAATCTTTTTTACTCTCTTACAGTCATATTGCAGTTTCATAGTGGTATAAACTCCAATAAAGTTAAGAATTTTTTTTCAGTATGTGAGATCAAACTGTATACAGAGCTGCCATAACGTATAAGTTAAGCCATGTACATACATTAATACATATATACACATTCCAATAACATGTTGAAGATTTCCCAGTTTTTTTTTCTTTAAGTTATTGCTAGACATATCAAAACACAGTATAAAACTGGCCATCACAACACCCTTTTGCAGTAATGATGAGAGTGGACTAGAAATGTGATGAAAGGCACAGAATTCATAAGACTTGAATAAGTAAATCCAAATTTGTTAGCACTAATGGCTCAAACAATGTGGAGCCATTGATTTTCTCAAGTGAATATAAGAAACAGTAGTTAATAGTATTTATCCAGGCTTCTAGTACAAGACATTGTACTAGGAGTTTCTCAAGTGGAAAAGTTGTCTCATAAGGGTAAGTTACATATAAACTCCAAAGATAAGAAAGGGCAACTGATGGAAGATTAGTTCTCCTGTGGCTAGACAGTGCATTGCACTGCCTTTCTGTTTAGTGAAGTTCTACTAAAGAGAATGCCAACTTTGTGGTTGACACGGGTGATCCTTGGGTTTGGTCATGCATCAAATTAACAAATAAAAGTTTTCAAGGCCAGATGTGGTGGCTGATGCCTGTAATCCCAACGCTTTGGAGGCTGAGGTGGAAGGATTGCTTGAGGCCAGGAATTTGAGACCAGCCTGGGCAAAGGAGCGAAACCCTATCTCTACCACAAAAAAAAAAAAAAAAAATTAGCTGAGTGTGGTGGTATAAGCCTGTTGGAAGGCTGCAGTGGGAGGACCATTTGAGCCCAGGAGTTTGAGGAAGCTATGCTCATACCACTTGCACTCCAAGATTCCATCTCAAAAAAAAAAGAAAGAAAAAAGAAAAAAAAAAGAAAAAAAAAAAAGGTTTTCAGTTTATGGAATTAAGCATATTAAAAGCCAAGACCTAATAAGTACTATGCTGATCAAGTGCAAAGGAGAGTTCTTAATATGAATAAAGGGGTCTTACAAGTCAATTAATTCAAGAGGCTATAAGATATATTTTTTAAAAGAGTTAAGCTTATTTTTTATACAAAGAAAAAAATTCCACCATCACCCATTGACAATACCCCAATCAGCCAACAGTCCATCAATGCAGAGTCTGCTGCAGTTGTCTGGAAGTTTTCATATTCTTCTTCCAGAAAAAAAGTGCTCAATTTTCATTGCCAAGGTTCTTGGTAGATTCACTTTTCACTAGAAAAAAATAAGTAAACATACAGTCAAGTGTTTATACTGTTTCTGTTTAGCTTGCTCTGTCCCTCTTCTCTCCCCCCTTCTGATGTACAGCAACAGCACTGCTCACAGGGACACACAAACCGCATTATGTCTTAGGCAGCTGGGATATACAATTCTGGCCACAATACATAGAGAAATGATGTCTGAAAGTGGCAATTATATTTTGTGAGGTAACATCCTTCCTGACTCTGTGGAAGACTTGGGAATGGTCACTTCACAATGTGGTTATGATCCATATTCATGCCACTGAATAGATCACTATTATCCAGGCCGGCCACTTGTGGTTGGAATAAATTTTTTCCATGATTTTTTTTTAAACTCAATTGAGGGTCAGTATATGTTGAGTGAATGTGGAGTGACAGAAGACTAGCTAATCGTCATCTCCTTCCTTTCACAGGAAAGAAGAGTAGAAATGGAGCTCCTCTAACACTCCTGTTTTGCTTAGAGAAAGCAAGACTCTGACTCACTAAACTGAGAGTTCCTGGAGGACAGAAACTTGACCTTTCTTCTCTGTATCTATCCTCACAATGTAGAGCATGTTTGCTGAATCAATGTAACTGCAAGTCATTCTGTCTTTTAGTGTTTTTTCCCTAAATCTTCAAAATGGGAACTAGAGTAAGTGTTCTATTTCATTGTCTTGTGAAGCTAAAAGGAAATAATAGGTAGTAACTCTTTAAAAATTGTCATGGTAAAATATAGGTTATTTTGAGCTTACAGTTGTTATCTCCACTGAGTAGATAAGAAAAATAAAGCTCAGAGAGGCAGAGCGAATGCTCAAGGGCCCACAGCTTATAAAAGTTGATGCTAGAAGTACACACCTGGAACTTTGCCTCATATTCCAACTGACAAATTCCCTGGGGTTTGCTGTTGTACCTAGATTTCAGATTGTACCAGCAACCACAAGAGTGTTTACTGAGCCCTTTCTATGAGTAAGGAACTGAAATAAGTTCCATCCAGGATATCGTCCCAATCTTTGTGAAATTTTATGAACTTTAGCAGTCCAACCAGTGCCTCCAAGATAGTATAAGATTTTTTCCTCCTCTGGCTGTCTCTGTACTTCAGGCAAACTCTATTATAGCAACTATTGTATAATAAGTTTCACGTGTGTGTTCCAGTGCCTAAAATCCTCCCCTCTCTCCCTGCAAAAGGAAAAGAAAGAAAACAGAGGTAAGGAAGAATGAGGAAAGGTGAGCAAGGGAGAATGAATGGAAGATTTACTGGCCCAGTAAGAGACTGACACATGAGTAGCTGCTATGCCAGATATTTTCACTAATTCCAGTAATCAATTTTGGGTTGGATTCCTTCTCTGAAGGCTGAGACATTTTCTAATCTTGAGTTATACTAGAACATCAAAAAGTTTATTTTGCTGACATTTCCAAATTAATAGAGATTTGTAGTGGTATGGGGACATTTTCCCCTTTCTTTGCCTATTGAAGGTGCCCAGTTTTCTTCTTTGAATAGGGTTCCATTCTTTCTTCCTTAGATTGAAATGCAGCATGCTTTTCTCAATCATCTAAATCTGCTAGTCTAACAACAGTCTGTGAAGCAAGTTACACCATTCTAAGCACTTCCCACTGGATTGATATAAGGTAGGTAATCAGCCTTAGCATCCCCAATCTAGTGGACTATCTTAATAGCTCAATCTTTTCCAGTTAACCTTTTCCATTACTGAAAAGCAACAAACAAAATCTTGGCTACTGCTGATTAATATAGGCAGACTTAAAAAAAATTATGGCAATCTACAATCATAACAAATATTAGAACCACCATCAGGTGTGGGAAGTACTGATCCCAGATCAGAAACACATGTACCCTCAAATTAGGTAAGAGACAACTTGTACTATGAACTCAGGATCAAATCCAACTTTTTTACCTCCACAAAGGGAAGGAATTTCAAGGCTTTCCAAAGAAAATGCCCTCTTCTTACATAATCCCCTTCCCTCATCAAGGGATCACCCTGCAAAATATCTGATGTTGTGAGAATGTATAAAGAAACAGACACCTTGAAGTACTTACAGAAAGAAATGCATGTACAGGAAGACCTGGGCATTACTTTTAAGGTGTGTGTACTTACGATGTGACAAAACTGGTATGGTTTTAAAATCCTGTCAGATACTTTTAGTTCTTTGCTAACACAGTTCTAAATAATCCTCTGTACTAAAAGCATGAGTCATCTGTGTTCCTGTAAATAAGTCAAACATCATATACTCACCAGAAAAATAGCAAATTTTACTCAATAAGGCTCCCAGTACGCTAGTAAAGTAGTCTTTTCTTATTGCTTCATTACAGGAAGCCTTACTTGAATGTACATTCCTAAACAAGGTGAAAGGAGAGCTGTGTGTGCTGTTTATTTATACAGATGATGTTTGCCCCAGCTACTAACCTACATTACTAAACAACTTTCCCCAAAACCAACATTTGAGAGGGCAATGTGTGAATTTATTAAGAAAAAAGCAACAAAATACAAAGCTTAAACAAAGTGAAACTGGCCATTTAAAACTAAAATTCCTAATTTATTTTGAAAAAATAATACAGAATATTCTCAAATTGTGAAAAATATTAACGTCAAGAATAAAAATAAGATTTAGAGGTCCATAATTTAATATTAGAAACATCGTGTTTGCTAACTAAAATCTGGTTTCAAGTTGTAGCACTGATACAGTTTTGGTCACTTTGAAAAACAATTTTTTTCCTATTAATTTTTGCAAAGAAAAAACACTATGCACAACAGAGAATACCTTATAACATAGGTTACTGCATCTTACAGCCTGTAATGCTGGTATAACAATAAAACTTAAACCACCCATTTCAAATACTACTTAAAAAATATTATCAATCCAAGACAAAGATTCTATGCTCCTCTGGAGTTTGTTATAGCAAAATCTGGCCTGTATCTGTTTCAACTAAAATTCTTTTAGTTGAAAGTGCTACGAAATAGTTTTGGATTAAGGTGGGTAATCTTCCTCACTTCTTAAAGGTAGTCACTAAATTTTATTCATCCTCTAAAATCTTGTATTCAGAAACATATTTAGTTTACTTTAATCAGTACTTACAAATGTAGATAAGTCATTTTATGTACTAAACTTTTATGTACATTTTTTTCCAGTTCTAGTACTTCCCTATATCACAAAATCAGAGAAAATAAAACCAGTGGGTTTGGAAAAGGAGATAAAGGGTAAAGGCAATAGCATTAGCTTATTCTCAATGCTGCCAAATTTTTAAATATAACGTTCCTTGCAACATTATCTCCTTCTACAAGGTAGGATACTAGGTTTTTTTTTTTTTTTTTTTTTTTTTTAAACCATTCAACATTTTCCTTGTCAACTAAAAATGTTTTGCAATCCCTCATTTTACAAATGTCTAAAGTCTTAACCATGGAGTATGTGATCATGGACAGTTACTGAAAGACTATTAGCTTAAAAAAAAGACAAAAATACATAGAATCGCATGCTAAAAAAAGGTCATTTTATAGCCATTCAATTTGATTCATTCACTTAAAATTGGTTTTATAAGATTATATACTCTTAAAAACAGAAGAGTAGCAGCATCGCATTTACTTGGTTCTTCACATTAACTGTAGCTATAGAGGAGATCCTTTAAGTGTGTAAATATACTGGGAAAACACATATAAAGAAATAAGGGTGGACATATTTTGTTTTGGTTTCTCTAAAGCTATTCTAAGCATTACAGAAACAAATTTACACTTACCTTGGTGAAGAACTTTCATATCATTATTGGATCCTTTCAATACCACATGTAATGTTGGATACTCAATGATTACTTTGTTCCTCAAATTGTCTAGGAGACTTTTGTAAGGATCTAGTTCATAATATCTTATTAATAAAAAACAAAAACAAAAAAACAGGAAACACTGTTAATATTCAAAATACTAATAGATAAATATATGAGAGTCCTTTACATTAAAAATTTTTTAAAGGTGATGACAATTCAGTAGTTACTTCCTTATAGTATAAGTTTAATACCTTCTAAGAAAGGCAGGTACAAGAGTTATTATTATAGAGGTTCTGAAACTAAATAAAAAAATATCAAATATTCTGACATTAGGAAAGCTCTAGAACAAGTTACCAATTTTTTTTCTTTTCTTTTCTGTTTTTTGATATGGAGTCTTGCTTTGTTGCCCAGGCTGGAGTGCAGTGGCACAATTTTGGCTCACTGCAACCTCCCCCTCCCAGGTTCAAGTTAATCTCCTGCTTCAGCCTCCCGAGTAGCTGGGACTACAGGTGCGTGCCACCACGCTTGGCTAATTTATTTTGTATTTTCAGTAGAGACGGGGTTTCACAGCGTTAGCTAGGATGGTCTCGATCTCCTGACCTCGTAATCTGCCTGCCTCGGCCTCCCAAAGTGCTGGAATTACAGGTGTGAGCCACCGTGCCCAGCCTACAAGTTACCAATTTTTATACCAAGAAACAGTTAAAGACTTTTACATAACATTTATGCTGGCCGGGTGCGGTGGCTCACACCTGTAATCCCAGCACTTTGGGAGTCCAAGGCGGGCGGATCACCTGAGGTCGGGAGTTTGAGACCAGCCTGACCATCATAGAGAAACCCCACTTCTACTAAAAATACAAAATTAGCTGGGCGTGGTGGCATATGCCTGTAATCACAGCTACTCGGAGGCTGAGGTAGGAGAATCACTTGAATCTGGGAGGCAGAGGTTGCAGTGAGCTGAGATCACACCATTGCACTCCAGCCTGGGCAACAAGAGTGAAACTCCGCCTCAAAAATTAAAAAAAAAAAATTAATATTTATGCTGTCATTTTTCTTGAATAAAAGAATGAGCTAACCATTCAAATTCCTCAAATATATTTATTTTGAGCCTTAAAGACAACCAATCACCTTATAATTTCTAGTAACATGGCAATAAAATAACTGGTTATAAAATTGGCTTTTGTAAAAAGTCAATTATTCTAATTATAACTGGTTTCCAGAAATTTATATTGCTATATAAAATTTAAGAAATACACAGTTTATCATGACATAGATGCCAAATGTGTCACAGGTAAATAGATGCTAGTGGTCATTAAAGTATGAAATTCTCAAATCATTACTTTAAAAAATAAGTTTGAGGTGACTGAATATGCATCCCCAGAACATTCATTCTTGCTTGCTTTCTAGGGTAGGAGTGAAAGGGTGGAATTCTAGCTAGCTCACTAGCGTGTACATATGAGAATATGTTGGCATGTTAATGTCATTTCATGTCAAAGAAGAAAAAGCTGAGAACATGTCAACCAGTGTAGTGCAGAAGTTCTCCAGCATTTTTATTCATCTCTACCAATGACAGGTGATATTCACATGCAAAACACATATCACATGAGATATCCAGCCTAACGGCTGTAACTCCATCCTTTTATCTCCTGCTCAAAAAAGCACACTGGAACACAAGTGATCAAGAGTGAGGATATCATTGGGATACATTTAAATTTGCTGTAATTTTAAGAGTAAATCATTCACAAACTTTGGTATTTCCTAATTAGTAAAAAATTATCTGCACCATAATCACAGCTGACTAAGACATGCAGGACACTTATTAAAAAATATGATGTAGTGATTTCTCCATCTTCTGAGTTTGTCTCATGCAATCGTTTTCAAATCAGGAAAAATAAAAGGGCTTAACAAAATGCAGAGCCAAGCTGACTAAAGTTAGAGAACAACTGTAAAACCATAACTTTACTTATGCTTCCCTGACCACACACCCCAGCGTGGAATTGCAGAATATTCTTTATGTTGAAAAGAAACTTGAAATGCAAAATACTGTTTTTCTAAACCAGCCACCTTAGTGCCCACAGATCATAGAATTCATACATTCTTTTCCCTGTGTGTAATGTAATACAGATGTGCTTACAATACTTCTAAAGTGTTTCCAGCATTCAAGGATTAAATGCTTCACATCTTTTAAACATTATTTCTCTTTGAAATAAGCAGTGTTTTTTTAAAGTTAGTAGTAATTATATAAAAAAGAAAAATGAGACTGTATCAGATACCTAAGTATAAGATTAACTTACAAAGTAAAATATAAAATGGGGATAACTAAATTTTTCTTGGGAGGAAATAAGACCTGGACTCTCAAACAGGAGCTTTTCAAGTGGCATCCTACAGGCACTTGCAATAACTTGTCTTCTGCGCCTTTTAACTAAATCATAAGATTTCTAATGAAAGGCATTTTTCAAATAAGGGAATGTTTTTTACTTGTTTCAGTTTTTAGTAAATAATTTTCAGTGCATACTTAATGTTTTAAGTATTTTATTTCTTTTTGTAATATTAAATCTTAATTGGGTTTCTCCAGATTTCCAAAGTTAAAACCAAGAAGCAACACAAAAAGTTCTTCAAAGGCCACATGGGAATCACAGCCTAAAATTATTGCTGATATAACATATGTTCCTAGCAGAGGAATGTTCAGAGGTACATAAAAATTACTACACAACAAGTTAAACATGCTTTGGATCCTAAAACTGTAATGATTATACTTATTTGGATTCTAAAACTGTAATGATTATACTTAAAAAAACTTGGCTCCTGTTTTACATGCTAAGCAGGTACTGTGCAAAGCACTAAGGATGCAAAGATTTAGAAGAGGGTTGTTAACTAATAAATTATTTAAAAAATATTTTATGCAATGAAAATCTGGTATGTCGTATGGTTTTGATTAGAATCAATGGATTTTAATTAGTGTTTAGCCTAAAATGTTGCAAACTTCTAATCAGCAATATGCTATTGAGTGTCAGTAAGCTTCTGTGCCACAGCTTTCCAGCCTGTTACACGAAGCGTTCAGATTTCACTAAATAATCTTTTAGCTGAAATTCTGAATTTCTTAGATTTTTCTACAACAAGTGGTTACTCTTAATCAACCATTAATATTTACCAGTAATTTAAAAGTAAATTTTGCAAACTGTTCATAAAGAAAGCCTATCAGACACATATGGGGTTAACACTTTATGGACTTGGAGTTTAGTTAAATGAAGTAATAACTTTTATTGGTTGTTTGAGTTTGGAGTTTAACACTGAGTTAAAGTTCTGGCTCCATCATTCACTGGTCTATGATCCTGGATAAGTTACTTAAGTTATTTAATCCTCAGTTTCCACGCTTGAAAATGGGGATAATGACAGTATCACTTTAGAGAGCTACAGTGAGGGCTAAATGAAAAAACACAGAAACTGCTCACACATTTATTTAAGCCCTAAGCACATGTGTTTTATATTTTTATTTACCAAAAATAACAACACTTTCCTATAGAAACTTCAGTTCAGGACAAAATCACTGAATTTCATTACCAGTGAAGATACTGCCTTTATGTGCATTTTGCATTTTAAATGTAGCCTTACAACTTTCAGTACGACCTTTAAATCATTATTTTATTGTCACATTTACTTCCAAGAAGATAAAGGTACTTTGAATGTTTCTGTTTCCATTATCTTGAGGCAAGTTTTAAGAGCCCAGCTTTGCACTGCCTAAAACATTTAGGTTTAGCTCCTTTGCAAGTCATGAAGTTACTGAATCCTAAGGGACAGCTTTATCTTTTGGAAATTTTCACGAACTCTGGTATTTCCATTAGTATAATATCTCTGCTACCATAAGACAAACTACTTAGGTTTGGAGGAATTAAGATACTAACATCTGTCTTTTTTCTTGCCCTCTGGGACCCTTCTTAGACATTTCCTCTTGTAATTTCACTTGTTCACCCTCACAGGCTCACTGGCTGACATTGCTCTGGGCAGCCTCATGGGGGCATTATGAGGGCAGAATTGGCTCAGTGGGCCAAAGAGGGGTTACAGTGACATTATATAAATAAAAGTTGTCATGATAATCAAGGGTATGCTTTTAATCTTGACTCTGTCACTAACTTTCAAAAAAATGGGCCAAGTTCTTGAACTTCTTTCTCCGTACTTTATTAGCAAATTAGCGTGCTTTTTAAAAAAAACTCCTCATAACCCAAAAAGACAAGTTTTTAAAGAAAGGAAGTCACAAACTACTTTATGTCCCAACTGACACTCCATGGATCATCGCCCCTTCCACCTCCTAAAAAATATCAAAACTAAGTCTGAATTTCTCCAAATTTAATCTGTGGCAGACCCTAAGCCACAGTATCTTTCCACTAAAATAAGATCACTGAATTAGGTGATCGCCAAGATCCCTTCAGCTCTAAATTTCTACAATTTTGTATATTTATCTGGCAAAGGTAGCACTTAACCTATATTTTTTCATAGTTGTATTTATTTCTCAATCTCGGTTTCTAGATTAAAACAGTTTTAATTATTCTTTTATTTACATTTTAAAAGGTATTATTTAAAATTTCTCCAAGTAATACTTCTGTGTAACAATTTTGCAACTCACAATATTTAAGTCATATAGAAAAAGATTTTGTCAAAGTTAATCTTTTTCTCACCCAATCTCTCTTAGTTTTCATATTTTAAAAATCACAGTAGTTAAATTAGTGGTTTGCTGCACTTTGTTTTGGGATTTTTATGTACCCACATAAATGAGGACGATACCTGCTTAACATGGAGTGTAGATCATGAATTGTGTAGTACAGACATATGCCTTAATTCAGAAAGCTCACCAGTTCAGAACTGCATTTGGTAAATATCCTATTCTAACCATGATATTTAAACTATGGATGTGGTTAAATAAAATGGGCAACTATGTATTTTAAAACCTGTTTTAAAGAGGGGCTTACAAGGCTCTGACTTGTTCTAGATATTATTTCTTTGAAATCTTTTCTGATTTTTGTTGGTAAATTCAATTACTTTTAAATCCACAAGGCTTGAGTTCCAGTCTTATCACTGGTTCTTACGAGCTATGACTCCAGAAGGAGAC